CAAGGAGGACAAACTGAGGCAGGGTGGGGCACTGCTTCACCTGGGAAGTGCAACAGGCCAGAGGACCCCCGTCCTATCCAACGGAGGCCATCAGGAACTTTTCCGGCCACTCTGGCACTCTGGTTCAGATATTGCACTTCTCCCACAGTCTATACAGCCAACAAACCAGGAGATTCCTGAGTGAATGTGTTCTCTTTCTGGGTCCACAAGGGGGCATAGTCCTAAGGGCAAAAACTTCCCAGTGCCATGCCCCAATCCCATCTCTCTCCATCCAGGAAATTTAACGGTTTCTGTTTTAATTTTTGCAGGCTCGGGAAAGGGTCAAATGTCAATCGCTCCAACAGAAGTTCCAAGAAACTCCTTTCATTGGCCAGGGGTCTTAGAGAAGGTGTGGGTTCCTCCCAGGTTAAAAGTCCCCTTCTTCCACACCCCTTTGGACTCCACATTTGGGTCCCCTTCCAAGAACACTTCCTTCGTGGAAGCCATCTTTCTCTCTCCTGGATTTCCCCTCTGGAGTCCCCTTCCACACACTGTCGTGGAAGCCTGTCTTCCCATCCAAAACTCCACCTCTGTCTCAACTCCCTTCCACTCAGTGTGGAAGCCGCTTTCCTCTCCTGGGTTCCATCTTTCTGGATTCTCTCACTCAGTGCGAAAGTTAGCTGTTTCTTTCTCTCATTCTCTCTACCAAAATAAATCACTTTCTACAAACACTTTTGAGTCTGGCATTTACTGCACACTGTGTCATGGTCTTCTCTACCATTCTTGGGGTAGTGATAGACCAAAAACCTCAAGAAATGTCCTCTCAGGGGAACTGAGGGCTCCCCTGAACCCCAACATTACATTCCCACCAGGCCCACAAGCACCACAGGTTTCCAGCACAAATCTGGGCAGCTGTTTTAGCTGGCACCTAGAACGCCTGTGAGACAGAGCCACCCATTCCCCTGAAAAAAAGGGGGCTGAAGGCAGGGAGCCAGCTGATCTGGCTCAGGAGGTCCCACCACCACAAAGACCAGCAAACTGAAACCCACCGGCTTAAGATTTTCACAGCCAGCACAGCAGTTTGAGCTCAACCCAGGACGGTCGAGCTTGGTGTGGGGAAGGGCATTCACCGTTACCAAGGCAGTCTGCCATTACTGAGGCAGCCCGCCATTACTGAGGCAGTTCTAACCTTAACTGTGTAAACAAAATATAAAGGAAGTTTATACAGCAGCTGGGCAGAGCCCATGGCAAGTGAAAAAGCCCTATCTGAACAAGAAAAAATCTAGGAAAACATATTTGCTCTCCTCCCAAAGATAAATAATTACATGAATGTTTCAAGAAAAGCATTCAGTATATTTCTAAATCATCTAAACATGTCTCTCTGTATTGCCATTGCTCAAGGGATGTCTTCCATGTGTTTCCCACAGTTCCATATGCAAAAGGTAAATCTGTTGCCTTGACACCAAACCTAAATACACATGGTAGCTGAGGTAACTTGGATGAAGAACATAGCTATAGCAAGGGGTGTAAGAAAGGAGTAATGGAAGATGGGCTGTGGAACACCATAACTACTCAGCTTAAACCTTTACACAGAAATTTTTACTATATTTGAATTGCCTTGGTGTATCGACCTTACACAAAGTTCCTTCACAGAACCCACCTCAACCTGAACTGAATGAGTCAAAGAAAATCAGCACTCCTGACCATAGCTCATTTGGCTAGGGTGACTGTCTTCCTACCGAACTCATCCACAGGCTAGCCAATGACCTGTGATATCAGTAGCCTTCACAGAAAAACCAGCCTAACCCATTCAGATTCCTCTTTGGGAATCTTAACTAAGAGACACCAAAGAAACTGTGCTATAAATGTGGAAAACTGGGTGAAGGGTACAGAGGACATTTTTGTACTGTTTTTTGCAATTTCCTATGAATTTATATTTATTTCAAAGCAAAAAGTTGGTTTCTTTTTAATATCAAGTATCAACTAAAACATGTACCTATCTGTATTAATTTCCTAGAGCTGTATTTGCTACTTTTTTGCTTTTGACACAAAATACCAGAAACAAGGTGGCTTAAAACAACAAAGATATTCTGTCTTACAGTTCTGGATGCTAGAAGTCAAAAATCAAGGTGTTAGCAAAAGCCACGCTCCCTATGAAATCTATAGTTTTCCAGCAATCTTAGGTGTTCTCTGGCTTATAGAAGCATCACTCCAATACATGGCATTCTTCCTGTGTGTCTGTGTTTTCACAGGCCATTTTTTTTATAAGGATATGAGTCATATTAGATTAGGGGCCCTCCTTACCCCAGTATGAGCTCCTTTTAACTAGTTATATCATCTCCAACAACTCTATTCCCAAATAAGGTCACATTCTAAGGTACTGGGGTTTAGGACTTCAGTATTTTTATTTGGGGGGAGAGGGCCACAATTCAGCCTATAGCGTTATCCCATCAAAGACCCAATTCTAGAATCTATTATTTTTCACAATGGAAATCTTGTTCATTTCTTTAATAAATCTTGGATCTCCTATATGTATCAGCCAGTGTGCCAGATGCTGTGAACACAAAAATGATTAGTATGACAAGTCTGGCTCGGGTTATTCATTCTTTTTCTGTAAGTGTCAGCTAAGGTTTCTAACATCCACCTTCTGAAGGAATTTTTAGAGGTCAGTCTTCATAGTCCCACTACAACTGCTTATGAGCAACAAATGTCACAGTCCACTGTAATGCTCTGTGGCACACTTATTATGTGGTGCTTTCTTGCTTGTTTGCTAATTTATTTGCCTGGTCTCCCCTCCTTCACTAAAATTTAAACTCTATGAGGTCACAGTTTGTGACTGTCTTTGTTCCTCTGATACATACCTATAAACTAGAAAAATCTTCAACCTAGTAGGCACTCAATTATTTGTTAAAAAAAAAAATTCACTGACTATCTGCATGTCAGACTATCTGTATATTATCCTTGTAGTCCTCATAACGAGCCTCCCAGGCACCTGCTGGAGCCCTAATTCATACTTGGAATTAAGGCTTTGAAAAGTTTTAATATAACCATCCTGACAAACAGGCATCAGAAGGAGTCAAATGAGGCATGATAACAACTTCAAACCAATTGGGCTTAGCCCAGTTCTGCAGCTGTGGTCACTTTTATGCTCCCGCAGCCAATCGAAAATGCTCCGTGTCCTGTATTCAAAAAATATTCCGATTTAATATACCGGAAATACAGTTCACTTCAATTTCTAAAGATAAAATCCCAACTAGATAGAATTTCTGATGCTTGAAATAGGAATAGTTGGAGAGATCTCTGAATTTAAAAATAAAACACATTTGTGCTTTCATGTAATCATACAATCAGAAAACTGAATATAACTTCCACTGGCCAACAACAAACCACTACAATTCGAGCATTCCAAATACACAGGGTGTATGAGATCAAAGTCTAATTTGCTATAAAATGCATGTAATTGGTCCAAGAAATGACAATTTTAAATTAAAACAATAAGCTATTTAATGCAAGCCATTTGAAAAAATATTTTCAACGCTATTGAAACTTAATATTAAAAGTACATTATATAAAAATATTTTACGTCATTTTTAAATAAAACTCATTTGTTTTATTAAACTGAACATTTTCTCCTAAAAAGACTTCAAGTATTAATTTTTTCCATTTTATTCCTTAAATAAAATTCTTCTGACTCACTATACTAGTAGAAAATTGTGTGTGTGTGTGTGTGTGAGAGTGTGTATGTATGTGTGTGTGTGTGTGTGTGTGTGTGTACTTTCTTTAACCTAACACACATATACATATAATTTCTTTAACCTAACCAAATTTGAAACCAATAAAATTGTTAGGTCAGCTGCCTATTCATGATAGACATAGAACGGAGGCAACTTGGTAGGAAGGGAGGAATGAATACTTGAGCCCAACTGCTCTGGGAACTTTATATGTATTATGTTTTGAAGTAAAACTATTAAAAACTTTTCATTCCTTCTCTCCTAGACAGATATTTTCTGAGAAACACTCTGCAACCAACACCCAGATTTTAGTGAGATTTTTCACAACTTCTGCAAATCTGCTAACTTTAAATACTCATGCCTTTAACATCTGTAAACACATGAACGGACAAACAGAAGTTTCCTGAATGTATTATAAACAGCATGAATAGTCTAAAAATAGTAAGGCTTGTTTTCACATTCCAATTATTGGCTATCTTAAACTTCAGTGTTTTTTGAAGTTCATTTAGCTGATTCCTATCATCCTGCTGATTTTTAAGGATTTCTGACATTTTAAATATTATCCATCATTTGTATTTGATCGTAAATTATTTCCACAGACAGAGCCCCACACCATTATTGTCCTCTGAAATGTCTTACCCCATCTGAATAGCTACCTTGGGATAGTGTGGGGTACATTTCATACACAAATTCCTGATTTGAAAGCTAGAAAGAATCTACAGAACCATCACGCCCATTTTATGGGTAATATTACCGTGGCAAAGAGGAAGGCAGTGACTTGTCCAGCCTCACACAGGACTTTGGTGGAAAACCTTTTACATAAAGCAACAGAGCTAGCAGGCCTTGACTAATTTTCAAATGCACTTAGGATCTGTGTACTGGCTGAGGGTAACGCAAAAGCATCATGTGGCAGAAACATAACCACCGGTGAACATCTCACAGTCTGGGGCACCCCTGCGGTAGCCAGCAAACAGCGCACACAGGGCTGAGCTTCAAAAGATGGTGACCCTGAACAAATGTAATTTGTGGAAGAAATAAGCCAAGAAAGGAAACATATGAAGCCTGATGGCACAAAAATCAAAATAAACAATTAAAAAATAAAAGCCTCCAGGCAATAGGGAAACAGAGAAAGGAACTACAGATATAAGGAGGACATCACCACCCTTTGCTTGAACATAAAGACTATAACCTACTTTCAACGGTAATTATAGATACAAAAACCTGCCTATGCCCACCTCTTTACATTTCAAAGACAAATAAATTTAGCTGTGAAGAAAATTTACTACTTACCAGTCCTGCTATTGGTGTAGACAGTCTATTGATCTTCTTAATGATGCCAGGCTTAAGCTTATTAATCAAACTGAAAGTAAATAAATAACATATGCAATTACAAGATGTCAATATCAGTTTAATGATTTTTTTAGCATTCTCAAAAATAACATATATCACTACTCCCTCCCCTAAATGTGTTACACAGAACCAACAGCCCATCAGAAAGCAAATAACCAAGAAATCAAGTTGAGAGACAAAGAAAAGCACCACACACAACGGTGAGTGGTCCTCGCTATTCTATAATCTCTGTGTGTGGACCCAGGCCTACTTCTATGTCCAAAGCCATCCTTCAAAGAGTTAGTTTCACATTTATTAAAGAAAGGTAATATTTGCTTATGTTTCAATTGCCAGTTTAAGAATCTCTTCATCATAACTTTGTTCACTTCACCCAAAGAATACTATTTTCTACTAATAGTTTTCACTGATTTTTTTTTCTCAAACTGATCATTTTTAAAGGTAGCTTCAAAACCATATTATTTTGCCACATTAAAAAGGTAAGGTGGACTCATATAAATAGTCAACTAACTTTTTGGTAATTCATTGAAACCCATAACTGATTGCTTTATTACCATAGCAGAATGACTGGGTGAACATTAAATTAAATGTACCAGAACACCCCAAATTAACTAAGTTACCTCGGAGTCTAGTACTTTAGATTGAACAGAACAAGTTTAAATTAACATGAAAGATACTGCAAAGATATATATGCCTCCGTACTCTATAAAAAAGAAACTTGGCTTTGACAACTGAAACTTGAGTACAGTTTTGCTTCTAAATCTAGATTATTATGAATTCTTTTTTTATTGTTGATCAGTAACACTGTGCCAGGTCATGTAGAAATTTAATGCTCTAAAAATGCTTTTCTATTAATGTTAGCTTGGTTAATTAATCATTAATCACTGTCAGAGAACACTACCTTGAAACTGATTTTCCTATTCAAAAACCCATCCACAAGAAACAATTTTTTATTCTGTAACAGAGCTCCAGAAAGAAGGCAAATAAAGGAGAAATCATTAAACATTCTGAATTTACTTGTCTCCTCGGCACAATGGTCAGCAGAAAAAAAGAAAATCTGAAGCCTGTGGAATGTCACTCCTTCAACATTCCAAAGACTTATATATACACTTGAGTGTGCTAAAAATAAAAAAGACAAAACTCTTGATGTAATAGCCTACAGAATGTTGTTCGGCAGGATTCATAATTACAAAACAGTGGCTTATGAAGACTTAGTTTGGTGAACAAAAGATGTTTTTCGTTTTCATGGTTTCTACACACAAAGATCATTTGACAAGTTAGTCAATATAGTTAATACCATCCTCCTGATAGAACAATTATTCCCTGACTCCTAATTTCTGATTTGCACACAGAAAGACAAGAAGAGAGGAAAGCTTTCTCCCTCATGTCCACATGATTTTTTTTCTTAATCACTAGCTGAGGAGGCAGGAAAGAATTCAGTAAGTTTATCAGAAATAATAATTCCTAATTAATTCTTCTAGTTGTTCCCTATGAACAAGGTATTTCTATATTTCCATTACTGGTGGCATTCTTGCAATGCATAGAAAAACTAATAACTGCAGTATTACTGAATGGAAACATAATTCTGGCAAGTATAAATCAAGAAATTATCTGCAGTTTGTGACCACTACCTTGGCACTGACTTTCCTAGAGTAACTTGTATTTTGAAGTTTAATCTTTAAATGACATAAATTGGAGGCCATTATGAGCTGGGGCAACATAAAAAATGTCAGGAAAGTCTGGCTGGAGGAAGAGTGTCATAAATTTCTGCTCCACCTATTTGAGTCACTGGTGACTTTGACCAGGTCATTCAGTTTACCTGTTTATATCACGTATCATTTTTATGTTACAGGTTTTGTAAGAGAAAGTACGTTTTTAAAAATACAGCTTCTGGAATTAGAATTAATAATATCACCTACTCTCAATTCAGTCAGCCAAGGAAAGTAGAAGATACAGCTAAAAGAAATAGAAAAGATAAATGACGTCTCCCAGTATTGAGTTAATTAACTCCTACCTCATCAGAAGGTTCCAAAGCTATTACTTAGAAGCAACATACACACATGGATTAGCATTCCTTTTCCACCCTACACCTTCAAGTACATATGCAAACACGGAAATAACCATGAGGAAAAAACAACACTCTGAATAACACACAAACTAGCCTCTAAAAAGTTGAGTCATTGGAGGAAAATCCTGTATTATTTTGTTAGTAGTTACAATGGTCATCTATTCTAAACATTATAAGCTGGAGAGAAGACACAGGTAGTCTTGGCAAATACTGAACATCCAATTAAATTATGAATCATCAGAAGTTATTTTCATATACAATTAAAGGAAAACCTTTTAGAATATTTCTTCTAAGGAGAAAAACAGTGAGTCTTACAAAATCTAAACCTCTGTGAAATTTGTGTGCCTAGAGAAATAGGGGCATAATCTTATGTCAAATCAAAAGCAAGTGCCATCTATGGAAATACTCTTTTCTACAAGTAGAACTTCTTTGCATAATAAGCATTCTTCAATCACACATATAGAATTCCTAAGGTAACACTGGCTTCAGGTAACTGACTCTATTCAAGATTCAGGTAACATAATAACCTTCCAGATACCTCTATGTAGTAGGATCTAGAATCAGTCAAGGAGCCATTTTATCTGTTTGTTTCCCCTTGTTCCAGCTCTCTAGCCCTAGGTAGAATTATCTCTGTCTTCCTCCAAGCCTTTCCTTAAGACCAGAGCCTGAGCCTGGTTCTGTGCTTGGTTAGTGCATCAGAGGCTTGCTCTTCTGATAGGATCAAAACCAGAAGAAAGCACCTAGTAATTTGACACCTCCCAAGGCAGAGCATTCACAGGTAAAGCCAGCAACTTCTCTCCTCCCTCAGCTCACCCCTTGCTAGGATCAGAATGTTTACATTCTTCCCAAAACTCATACCTTGAAATCCTAACCCTGAAAATAACAGTATTAGGAGGGGGAGCCCCTGGGACATGATTACGTCATGAGGGTAGAACCCTCATGAATCGGATTAGGTCCCTTATAAAAGAGGCTCCTGAAAGCTGCCTTGCCCCTTCCACCACATGAGGTTACAGTGAGAAGTCTGTCTACGAAGGAAGCAGGTCCTCACTATATGCCACATATGCCAGTGCCTTGATCTTAGACTTTCCAGCCTCCAGAACTGTGATAAATAAATGTCTATTGTTTATAAACTGCCTAATTTATGGTATCGTGATATAGCAGCACCCCAAAAAAAGGTATCTCTCAAGTCGCCTCCTTCCTTTTCTTCTCACTCCCCTCCTTCAGCCTCAAACATATTGTCCGCTTCCTTCAAAGGAGTTGCACGATGACAGATACTAGAGAGTTGGCTCTGTTCAAAAGCCTTGTCAGTAAATATAACCCGACTTTAAATATAACTCAGAGAGGAAATTCAGAAAACTGTACATAAAGCTCTATATAATAATGTCTGGCTCAGTTACAAAAGCTTTAGTGAGAACTAGAATTTGATGCTCTGTTTCTATTAGTGTCCAGAAACTAGTTTTAAATGCCAAATTTCATTTTTCCCTTTATCAGAAAGATTTTCAGCTGAGGTACAAAATTTATGGACACTTTTTGAGTTCCTATTTCCAAAGATTTTCAAAATGAACAAGAAAGATGACTTTGAATAACATATTAATACACTGAATGAACTTTTTAACCTGTGAATTATTGTCATTCACACACACATATTTCTAATATCTTTTTCATATGCATTTTCTAAATATCTCCTATTATCAAACTTCTATTAATAACTACATTTTTTAAAGATATAATAAAGATATTACATTTTGTTCACCAATTAAAGAGCAATGATTTCTGCTTTTTTAATGTTTTATTTATTTCAGTAGATTTTTGGGGAACAGATGGTGTTTCATTACATGAATAAGTTCTTTGGTAGTGATTTCTGAGATATAGGTGCACCCATCACTTGAGGACTGGACACTGTACCCAGTATGCAGTCCTTCATCCCTCACTACACTGTACTCTTCCCCCCGAGTCCCCAAAGTCCAATACATTATTCTTATGCTTTTGCATCCTCATAGCTTAGCTCCCACTTATGCTGAGAACATCTGATGTTTGGTTTTCCATTCCTGAGTTACCTCACTTAGAATAATGGTCTCCCATCCCATCCAGGTTGCTGCAAATGCCATTATTTTGTTCCTTTTTATGGTTCAGTGGTAGTCCGTGACATATATATTTACACCATATCTTCTTTATCCAATCACTGATTGATGAGCATTTGGGCTAGTTCCATATTTTTGCAACTGCAAATTGTGCTTCTATAAACATGGGTGTGCAAGTATCTTTTTCGTATAATGACTTATTTTCCTCTGGTTAGATACCTAGTAATGGTAGATCTACCTTTAGTTCTTTAAGAATCTCCACACTGTTTTCCATAGTGGCTGTACAAGTTTACATTCCCATCAGCAGGGTAAAACTGTTCCCTTTACGCTGCATCCACACCAACAACTATTTTTTTTTTAATTTTTTTATTATGGTCATTTTTGTAGGAGTGCAGTGCTACTGCATTGTGGTTTTGATTTGTGTTTCCCTGATTATTAGTGATGTTGAGCATTTTTCCATATGCTTGTTGACCATTTGTATATCTTCTTTTGAGAATTGTCTATTCACGTCCTTAGCCCACTTTTTGATGGGATTGTTTGTATTTTCTCTTGCTGATTTGTTTGAGTTCCTTGTAGATTCTGGATATTAGTCCTTTGTCAGATGTACGCATTGTGAAGATTTTCTTCCATTCTGTGGGTTGTCTGTTTACTCTGCTGATTGTTTCTTTTGCTGTGCAGAAGCTTTTTAGTTTAATTAAGTCCCATCTATTTATCTTTGTTTTTGTTGGATTTGCTTTTGGGTTTTTGGTCACAATGTCTTTGCCTAAGCCAATGTCTAGAAGGGTTTTTTCAATGTTATCTTCTAGAATTTTTATGGTCTCAGGTCTTAGATTTGAGTCTCTGATCCATCTTGAGTTGATTTTT